CAGCGGCAGCAACTCACAGGCAGCTCCGTAAGTGCTGCCAGCTGTCTTGTGTCCCTTAAGCATTCATTTAGCGCTTGTTGCTGCTGCTGCTGCTGCTGTTTTGTGGGCAACAGCCGCTGCTGCTGCTGCTGCTATCTTTGCTTTAGGCGGAAAGTGCTTGTGAAAGAGATACGATTGGAACAGCAGCAGCAGCAGCAGAAGCAGCAGCAGCAGATTCTGCACCGGCTACAGGAGAGTGCTGCTGCTGCTGCTGCTTCTTGGACCCCACCGCAGCGAGACCAGAGTTCTGTTCCTTTGCTGCAGTAGCTGCTGCTGCTGCTGCTGCTGGGCTGCCTCTGCCTGTGGCTCAGCTGCTGCTGCAGCAAGACGCTCTGGAGAGCTTTTGCAGTATGTCTTGCTGCTGCTGCTGCGCCATCATGAACAGCCGGTGCTGCTGCTGCTGCTGCTGCTGCCGGTGCAGGCGATGCACAGGGCTGTTGCTGCCGCTGCTTCTTGCACGACTCTCATTTGCTGTTGTTGTTGCTGCTGCTGCTGCTGCTTGTAGGTGAAGGAAACAGCTTTTACTTTGACAGCGAAGTTCTGCAGAGAGAGCCATCGGACACATGGGCAGCTTCAGCTGCTGCTGCTCTTCGGGTTAGCTACTGCTGCTGCTGCTGGTGCTGCTGCTGCTGCTGCTTCTGCTGCTCCGCTTCTGCGGCTGGCGAGGCCATGCAACTGTCTTGATGCTGCTGCTGCTGCTGCAGGAGCTGCTGCAGGAAGCCCTTAGCCTCCGTGCGTGTCCAGCAAAGAGACGAGCTGCTTCCATAGCAGCAGCAGCAGCAGCAGCAGGCGCGAGCAAGATGGGTCCAAAGCCAGCCGGCAAGCAGCAGCAGCAGCAGGAGCAGCAGCAGCAGCAGCAGGCGGGGTCTACTTTGCTGCGTCAGTCTGCTGCCGATTTCATCGCTGCTGCTGAATCGCCGGCTGCTGCTTCGGGGGCCTCAGCAGCAGCAGCAGCAGCAGCAGCAGCAGTGGCAGTAAAGACGCCCAAGGGTTTTCTGCTGCTTGAGGGGCCCCTTGTAGCAGCACTTGAGGCCCTGGTGCTGCAGGCGACTGGCCTAGACCCTCGCAAGGAAGCAGCTGGGAGAACTTTGCTGCTGCAGCTGCTGCAGCAGCACGCAGACAACTGCCATATTCTGCAGCAGCAGCAGCAGCAGCAGCAGCAGGCCGAGCAGCAGCAGCAGCAGCAGCAGGCCCAGCAGCAGCAGCAGCAGCAAGTCCAGCAGGAGCAGCAGCAGCAAGCCCAGCAGCAGCAACAGCAGCAGCAGGCCCAGCAGCAGCAGCAGCAGCAGGCCCAGCAGCAGCAGCAGCAGCCCCAGCAGCAGCCGCAGCAGCAGGCCCAGCAGCAGCAGCAGCAGCAGGCCCAGCAGCAACAGCAGCAGCAGGCCCAGCAGCAGCAAGAGATAGCGGAACAGCAGAAGCAGCCCGCCGCAGTAGTACAGACAGACCGCATGAACAAGTCCCAGCAGCAGCAACAGCAGCAGCAGCAGTAACAGCAGGAGCAGCAGCAGCAGCAGCAGCCGTTGCCGCACGTGACAGCACTTATTGGCGTCCGTCTTGTGCTGCTCGTCGTGGTCTCAACGCTGCTGCTGCGTGGTCTCAACGCTGCTGCTGTTCATGCTGTTGCTGCTGCTGCTTTTGCTGCTGCTGCTATTTCTGCTGCTGCTGCTGCTTTTGCTGCTGCTGTTTCTGCTGCTGCTGCTGCTGCTGCTGCTGTTCCATGGGAAGGGCAATGCAGTGGGCAGCAAGGGCACTGCGGCAGCAAATGCAGTTTTCGCAGCTTGAACGTAGCGCAGCAGCAGCAGCAGCAGCAGCAGGAGTAGCAGTAGCAGCCTACCGCAGCCAGCAGCAGCAGCAGCAGCAGCAACTGCTGCTGCTGCTGCTGCTGCCCAATGAGAGCTTGTGAGGGACGATGCTCTGGACATTCTTATTTCCGTTTTTTCAATATTTGCTTTGCAGGGACTAGGGTTTAGGGTTTAGGGTTTGAAGTTCAAGAGCTGACTAGGGCCTAGGGTTTAGGGTTTGTAGTTCAGAGGCTGACTAGGGTTTAGGGTTTGTATTTCAGGAGCTGACTAGGGACTAGGGTCAAGGGTTTGTAGATCAGAGGCTGTCTAGGGTTCAGGGTTTAGGGTTTAGGGTTCGTAGTTCAAGAGCTGACAAGGGTTTAGGGTTTAGGGTTTGTAGTTTAAGGTCGAGAGGTTCAGGCTTCAGAGTTTGCAGGCTAGGGTTTAGGGTTTAGGGTTTGAAGTGCTCTAGAACTGTC